CCCCCCCGCGATCGTACGCGGCAAGTAAAACTTCGGCACGCACGGAGTGCTACTTGGAGCTGTCGTTATTGTGAGAAACAAGGTCCTCACAGAAAGAGGGAGAGAGAGACTCGACGCCGCAAGCGGGGATATTTTGGACCGTCCCCATGTAAGCTAATAACGCCTTCCCGGAGGTATGACGTGAGGGCGACGCCAGATTTCACTCGTTCGGTCTCGTCCGACACTTTGTCCACATACGGTCCGACAGCGGCCACCTGCCCTATCTGGAGGTGGAGACGATGCACCTAGTATAGGCCGAATGATTGCTCCCGCTGCCCATGGATTGCTGTGTTTGTGCATGCCTTGAGATGTGACATCATGACGAATTCACCTCATCTCGTCAAACTCACTCCCCGGGACGTTTCGATGATTTTGGAAGCAAATGCGTGTCAAGCACGGCCATCTGTAGTCAGAGCGCGATGAAATTGGTGTGGCGGAGTGCCCTACTTTGATTCCTCCTCACAACCCAGCACATCGTAAATCGGTGCTCTATTGACCTCGTTCTCGTCAGATGAAGGCATCACCTTGACGTACGATTCCCCGGAGGGTTTTGCGGAAGGGTCGCTCTTACGTAAGCGCGATGGTTAAAAGAACCCGATATTTGAAGCCTGTTTTTCCCTCCTGGGGAAAAAATATCGCGCTTCGCGGTCCGCGGCTCATAGTAATGATATACACTTTTACGCAGAAGCTACCCCCTTGGCCATCGCACACGGTCACTCGCTCGCACCAGCAAATCATGATGAAGCGAGTGACGACTGACAACAGGAAGTAACCACTACCCCCCAACGGGTAGTAATTTCTGCCGCAGCTCACAAAACGCAGATTCCCTTACTTCGTCCGTCAATCTTTCGCATGCTCGACTGGGTGGTCTTTCTGTGCGTGTTTTTATTTCTCCTTAATGCTTGAACCAGGCTCGCAGAACAACTGGTCATTTTCAACATGTCTCTGCTGTAGCACCCCCCGTGTGTCTGGGCACCCCCCCTTCCTCCACCTCCCGCTGAGTAAGACTCAACGGGAAGAGGTACATCCTGAACATCCTCCTCTTGTCATCGTCCGTGGATTAGGCTTGTCGTACCAAAGCCTTGGAGACCTCACGGGCACACTTGCTGCGCCTATTTGTGCACTTCCGGGCTCTCCATGACTGGATCCCTCCCCCTCACGAGTTCCCCAAACACCAATCGCTTCGGGAGTATGTCCGTCTACGTGGAAGCAACATTGAAAGTAACCTGGTTTCGTTGTTGGGGGAACCACTTTTTTTACAGCATTAACAACTCGTTTGGGTATTTTTTGTTGAGTACGTTTATCATGTGCACCGCCACGCGTACGGTGCTGCAGGGATTATATATAGGTGCAGTAGTACCTCTTCGGGCTCTTGTACACCTTTTTCTTGCTACGTGTGCGTGTTCTTTAGATCCTCAGATGGCTCCAGCACTTTCGTGACCACGGGCCGAGAGTCTTTGCTAGATTTTGGCATTTAGCAACTGGCTTACGGTTTAATGTGAAGTCAACAACAACAACAACCGCCAGCAATGTTATCTATTGTAGAGATGCCGAATACTGCTCAACGCCGAAATCGATGGCACCTGCCGGTTGCAATTCCCGGCTGATACGATTCCTTCGTTGTGAAGTCCAAGATTCCGTATAATATCCACAGCGCAAACAAGCAAAAGGCGCTTTCGTTGGGCATGCTCGAGTCAGCAACGAACAACAACATTGCTCGCTGAAACGATGTCGGATGCTGGATTGTTACGGAGGTCTCGGGCACGCGGAGACAAGGGAACGACGACATGAGACCCTCGTACTGCAGGCACTATGGACGCGTCCTCCATCCCGGTCCAGTAAGGGCCACCATCATCACCAGACATCCTGAGCGATTGAAATCTCGCTAGTTGTCAAGAAGATACTCCAGAAACGCAAACACACGTCGGAGTTCGCGTCGAACCCCAACACCACACACCATTTCGACCGGACGGTCCACACTACCATCTGTTTAGCGCGCTCGATTGAAAGTCATCGCTGCCGCTGCTGAGCAAGCAGCTGCAAATAATGTCGATGGTACTCCCGTATATTGGGTATATTAAGGAGTAATGATCGAGCTCATGTGTGCGAATAAGATGTGGATAGCTACATCATGCCGCAGCATCGCCTGTTCGATTTTCTTATATCTTATTCGCTCTCTCAACCGCGTGCATCGCACCCTCCGTCCTTGGGCAAAGAGCGCCACCGACTATTACTATTCCAACACGCGAAACCATGACAAAAAAATCACGACTCGACCCGTGCTGCCCGATACCAACCATCAGCCAAAGAGCAGCTACAGCCATCGGTACAATGCTGCAACCCACTCACTCGCCGCACGTCCACCAAGTCGTTGCCGAAGGGCAACCAAACCACAAGGGCGGCTGCGAAAGGCGACCCTTCCGCAACACGCGACAAGCGAATTGGTATAACGAGCGGCGCCGAAGCCCCCCTCAAAAACTCGTATCAGACGTCCTGTAACAAGCTCCTCCGACCACCGACCAAAAGGCAGCCTTAGCCTTAGTTGGCGCTCTCCGCGAGTTGCTTGGCCTTGACGCCGACAGAAGCAATGTCTCCGACCTGCAGGCAGTCGTGGCAAAAAAAAAACGTACAGACAGGCAACCAAGACAGGCGTGTGAGTCGGACATACAGCGACGATGCAAGTGCGATGGGGCGCAAGGACAAAAAGGCGAGGAAATCACCACGCCTCGCTTGTCATGACACGAGATGGACGACGCGCCGCACTGACGCATCGACATGCTGCTCGTGTCCCAACAGCCTTGAGAGTACACTCGTTTCTTTGGCTTCAAAGGAAGGGAACAAGCGGTGGTGGAGAGAGGTTTCGAACGACGACCATCAACGTGAACACCTCTATAACCATAACACAATCCACAGCAACAGCGACAACACCATATCGGGGAGCCCGAATTCGCAATTTTCGCAGGTTGCCTTCCGTCAACCCATCTCTCCCTATCGCTCTGTCCCCGAAAAATATACGGCCTCGCCCCCGTTAAGGAACAATCAAAACCGCGTGCGGCGAAACTCCCAAATGCGTCCAGAAACCGAGAGGTGATCGAGCGCTGTGCCCGTCGAACTACCCCTGTTTCATGATGGCAACGAATTGCCTGCGCGAAGAACTAAGTTACACATGAACCAAAGAGGAAGGCGTTACGTAGACCCGAACGCTAACCTCCTCCGACCCTACGATCGGTAGGGACAGATAAGACAGCGTAGACATTTTTTAGCCACCTTTAGCAAGTTGGGACAAACGACCGGCCATCGATGATCGGTCCTGTGGTATCAATGCTCGGTCCGCTCGACGTCGCGCGGTCAGTGGTCCAACCGCTAAGGCATGCGAACCCCACGAGTACCCGCCCCCCCCCCCCCCCCCCCCCCC